ACAAAGAGCTGGTGCTGGGGAAGGGAGAGAACTTGCATCACTGAACAGTCTGATTTTTTTGTTTTTCCACTTTGCATGTTTTTATTATTTATGAAGAGGGATGCTTCGTCCCATAAAACACCAGCTGGTTCCTGTCTCCCTGGTTACGTTGACATTCCTGCCACCGGTTTCCACCTGCCCACACATGCTTCCCCAGCAGCCTTTCTTGCATAAGCTACAGCTTGATTTGGTTTCAATGCAAGCAAACAGAAAATGGCTGGTCACTACTATCTGAATTAAAGGAGGCATTATGTGTACTTCACACTGTTCAGCTGGCAAAAACTCAGAGAAGGAACTTAGTGATACAGTGGGAATTTCATCCATTACAGGCAACGACTCCTGGTGCCAGCTTTCACAGCAAGGTCAGCTGAATGGAAAGTGTTGGATACAGGAACTGAAAGGCTTGATTCTGCCAACAAGGTGCCGAATCAAAATGAGAACATACTTTTCTGTTCTACACTTAAAATAAAGAAATTGAGAGAGTGTCAAATGCTGTCATTCCAGAACAGCAGCAACTGGAGCTTGTTAATGTTCACACTTCAGAGCCGTTAACTCTACAAGGCCCTGTGCCTTCACAGCTGGCCAAAAAGCAGCTTGCTTTTATAACCCCAAAGAGATGAGGACTTCAGACCGCAAAACTCAGGGAGGTCTTCATCATAGCAGAGGCAGACAGTACAGGGCTAAGTCTTATCTTCAGGCCAGGTGAAGATTTCACAGGCCTTTCAGTCTTTTCAGGCCTTTTTCAGTCTTTTCAGGCCTTTCAATCGGCTGAATGACTCCAAGTTCTGTGCCTTCACCTACCTCAAGCCCAGCACCTCAATATGCTGCTTTCAGAGATATCAAAGACAAATGACAGCTTTAAGAGAGGTTTTGTGGCAAGCCAGCAGTGCTGGTGCAGTCACCTCTGAGAAGCCAACAGCTGATAGAAAGCCAGCAACCCACAGCTATTGAGCAGGGACTCTCCCCTCACCCATCACAGCCCATATCAATTCTTCTCTGCCACAAGGGAGAAGCCCTGTCACTGCAGCAGCTGTCAATAACCCATCCCTTCTCCAGACTAACTCACCATTGTCCATTTCTCACCACCAGGCCAGGTAGTAAGCCAGACACTGTCTGGGATACCATTAATTGACAGTTTCCTTAGTTCTATGCACTTACACACCTCTGTACACCTACAAAAAAATTTTGTCTCAGCATGGATATGGAGAGCTTGCACTTCCAGCAAGTAGCTGGTTGTCTCTGACAGCACCATCATCGAGGCTCCCTATTTTGCAAAGTGAATAATTGTTCTTAATGTTCCTTTCCACAACTATTTTGTACACTACAGAAAGCACACCTTCCTAACCTCTTGTCCCACCCCTAAAGCTGAGCTGAGGTCCTGGTTTCAGCTGGGATGGAGTTATTTTTCTTCCTAGTAGCCAGTATAGTGCTGTATTTTGGATTTAGGGTGAGAATAACACTGATAACACACGGACATTTTAGTTGTAGCTGAGGAGTGCTTACATTAAGTCAAGGACATTTCAGTTTCTCATGCTGCCCTGCCAGTAAAGAGGCTAGGAGCGCACAAGAAGCTAAGAGGGGACACAGCCAGGACAGCTGACCCAAACTGGCCAGAGGAATATTCCATATCGTGTGACATTGTGACAAGTATATAAACAGGGGGGGAAGTTGGCTGGGGGGTACCATGGCTTAGAGAGCGAGTGGGCATCAGTCAGCAGGTAGTCAGAAATCGCACTGTGCATCACTTGTTTTGTATGTAGTAGTAGTTGTAGTACCTGTTGTTGTTGCTTCTCTTCCTTTTCTGTCCTAATGAACTGTCTTTATCTCAACCCACAAGCTTTACTTTTTATTTTCTCCAATTCTCTCCCCCGTCCCACTCAGGCGAGGAGTCAACAAGCAACTGCATGATGCATCATTGCTGGCTGGGGTTAAAATATGACAGCCTGCCAACAAGCATGTTCCACTATCATACAAGAAAAAACGAGGTCAGAAAGGAATCAGAAGCAAATATAACCAAACGTTCATGAGCACAGCACAAAGATACATCTCATTAAAAAATAACCATGCTGTACAGGAGATACAGGCATCCATACACAAAAAAAATGCCACAAAATTTGTTTTTAAGAAGCAGGGAGCAAGGGGAAGCTTAGGATATTTTAACAGTTGACGTATTGCCAGGGAGATTCTGTCTCACAATAAGTGCTAGGCAGCTTCACAGCAACGACTTCTCCATGACTTTGCACAACCACAGCAACACACATAGACAACTCGCTATTTCTGCCCTAGAGAAGCGAATGGCCGAGAGAGGCAAGAGTGCTGTACATACATGGCAGCAATGTGTGAGGAAAACTACATGCTGTCTGTGTTGTACAGTTTTGCTCAAACACGTTATACACATACAGACTTTATACACATTTTTTACAGTGGAAAGGAAAAAACAATCTAGGTGCAACAAGCTTTCAAGATGCATGAGAGGTAAGTTCCAGGGTCTGTGAAATAAAATGAAACTAAATACAGGGAGAAATATCTAACGAAACAGAATCATGACACAATCAAGGCTCACATTTTTTTCACATGGTAATAGACCTGTCACTCCTGATGACTGGGATTTGAACAAAACTATCCGCAACATCCGTACGTATATGTGTGCGAATATATATACATGTGTATTTTAGTATTCGGTATATCTTCAGAGTTTGAATCTGTTCAGTTCAACTGGTCATTTAAAAGTTCAAGAGCTACCAGTCTGTTGGAGAGTTTTGGTTTTCTAGTATTTTTTTAAAGAGATAAATAAAGACAATCGACTTTCTGGAAAAGCATTTCAGATGTGAAATTGAACAATGTTAGTTGCACACATTGTCAGGCAAAAAAATATTTATGCAGGACTAATTCCAGTGTCCAATATTGGTTCACTACACAGACTACTGAACTCTCTTTCATCTGTCATCCTAGTTTATGCCAGCAGCTAAAAAAACAAAACAAATAGTGTTTTTAATAACAAAGGAAACCCTGCTTAAATTAATAGCCTTTGTTAGCATTTAATGTTCAACTAAGCCAAAGAAGGAAGCTGTGGTGAAAGCAAACAAATATGAAATTTGAAGAATTTGAATCCGTTTACTCCGGGTAAAAGCTGCTTTGCTTGGTCTGACTGCTAAACTGATAAACAAGCAGATTCAGCTCTTACGTAAGTTAAAACTCCCTCTAACGGCAACTGGATAGAGGACAGAGATTGAAAAAATGAAAATCATATCACTGTGTTTGAAATGCATTTTCAGCTAGGCAAAATCTAGTTAGTATGAATGTTTTTGAAAACGGAAAATTTAGCTAGTGCCCAAGATTGTTTTAAATTTCAACAAATATGTTTACATTCTTGAAAAAAATTTTATGTGCTTTGTACGATGTGTTATGTAAAAATTTACACATTACGTACAACGTATTTTCTCCAATGTGATTGTTGCTTTAACAAAGTGTATTAGAAAAGCACTCAGGACACATGATTCCTCCCATCCATTAAAATGGTCCTGCTATTCAGCAGCTCCACTCCCAGTACAAACATTGAACACTCTCAGAGATACAAGAGTCCAAAACGCACAGGCTCAGGTTTATTCATAGCAGAGTAAGCATTTAACCTGTGCAGTAAGTGTAATAAAATCAGAAAATATTACATTCTGCTCACAAATACCAAACACAAATTGTCCTTATAAGACAATAAAAACTAAGAATAAACCACTGCTTCTTTCAACTAACTGAGCACTGTCTGCAGGATAAAATAAATAAGGAAAGCTACTAGGGTATTACTGGTTAGCATTAGATGTGCTAGCAGTAACATACCAGGAAAAACTTACAAAATCACAAAGTTAGACAGCTTCAAGCTCAGTCATGATGAGAGGTGGTAATGCCTTTTTTCTAAAACCTTGAGGGAATTTCAGGTTCGCAGGTAAATTCTACTGGTTCATCTCCTTTTTTTCTGCTGTTCCTGCAAATGGGTATAGTATTACAAAACTGAGAGGTCACAACTTGATTTCTCATTAGCAGCGATGATTCTGTGCATCATTTTTATAGCCTAAAGGTTATGTCAATTACCACAATACAAGAACCTCAGGCTTCTGTTGGTCAAAGGTGAAATGTTTTCAGAAGGCATATAATCTAGGGAGTGGAAATCCAGAGTAAAGCCAGCTGAACATTGGGAAAAAAACCCACACTTTTTATTCAAAAAAATAATTTGGAAAAATGCTGACTTTTTAATCCAAATGCCCACAAGAGCCCTTTTCCTAAAATCCAGCCTAGTAACTCTTCTACTTTAGGAATGGAAGCTTTTATAGAGAGGTGTGGGATAAATCAGGCTTTTATGCTACCATGCACTCCCTCTTCAGAATAAGAAAGACATTTGAGATTTGATCCAAACCTCATTGAATTTAATAAAAAAAACTATTGCAGATTCACACTAACCCACACACACCATTTTAGGTCTCAGTTACCAGAGGTTCAAAGCAGAAACGACCACTTATCCTAGCAAGATAACTGGTAAGTACACTGATAATAGCAGATAAAAGAGTAAGTATATTCTGAAAGTACGACCCTGAGACACTAGAAAAAAAACATAGATCAGGAATACTTCTTTGCCAGTAAGTAATCTCATTTTATTGAGAGACCGGAAATAAAACTACACTTGTAGTTAATCTCATTTTATTGAACAGTTTGAAGTGCTGCTGAAAATAACACCACTTTACAGACTGTACACAGAGTTTCAATTTTAAAAATTTAAATATTTTTTTCAGAAAACATGCATATTTATTAAGGCCTTTGAGTAAGGCCTTTAAGGTCCCTTTCAACTCAAGCCACTCTAGAATTCATTTACAGCAGAAATTCCTTTTTACAAATCTTTTAAGAGACAAGGCAGGCAGTAGCAATTCTGCAGAAGACAAAGCATACAAGCTGTCTACACTGCAGGTACAGCTTATTCACTGAGAAACATTAGCAACTGCAGATGAAGGTCGTTTAAGGATGGATTCAACTGAAAATGACAGTGGCTCAGCTGTTGAAAGTTTTGTTGGGGCCTGTTTGGCCCCAAAAAAGTCTTTTGCACATTTGTCTATTGTAATTTTGTATTTTTGGTGCTCTTTAATGGCACACTCTCGGTACTTCCTAGAAGTATCTTCAACAGTCTCTTTCACAAATGATGGTCTCAGCTCCACTCCTGATCTGTCAGGAAGCACTGGCTGGAACAGCGACTGAAATGGATTGTATTTGAGTGGTGAGGGGGGCTTAGTACTGTCTTTGGTGATCTTGTTTAATACCTGTTCCTGAGGAGCCAGAGAATCCTTATCAGAAATCTGAGAGAAAGTTCTTTTTGGAGGAGAGAAAGCTGACCTCTCACGAGCTTCCTGAGGAAGGCATGGTATCTCATTACATGACTGCTGAATGTCTTGCGTGTGGGTCAGAATGAGTGAGTTTTCCAGTTTTGGAGACATTATGTTATGCTCAGTGTTTGGACAGTCCTGACTTTGTGAGACCTTGGCATCCCAAGCTGCCCCCGGTTTGAGAGCTTGGACAGTAGTAGCATTTAGCAGGTATTGCTGGTAGAGGAGAGCATCACTAATGGGGCCACATTTTGGCCACACTAAGAATCTAGAAGACAAGGGATATTGTCTGTAGGTAGTAGCTACACTGACATTTGAAGAAATTAGTTCCATGTTGCTGGATCCTGAATACTGCATGGTTAGATCAAGGCAGGCTGGTAAAAAACTGCAAAACTCCTTGTTCGGAGTATCAACTTGTGAAGTGTTGAAGGCTGTTTTGTATGAGTTGTATTCAGCTCCATGCACCATGCGGTTAGGGAGAAAAAGGGCAGCTGCTTGTGTAGCTTCCATCATCTCTCTCTCTTTATACTCTCTCTCTAGCATAATGTTCTCCAACTCTTTATCAGCAAAAGCCCGTCTCTTTCTCATCCTGTCACTTACAGGGGGTGGCAAGGGTGAATTCCCTCCCAGGTAAGGGTCTGTTGGAATAGGACGGTAACCTAAAACAACAAGGCAGCATTAGAAATTAAGCCACATACAAAAAACATTAAAGCAATGTTTGCAAAAGCGCTCCATTTGGAGCCAGTCCCGCCAGGTGCCAAGCACTTGCTTACAAACCCTTGACACCGTCTACTCCTATTGAAGTCACTGTGTCCCAGAGGCCACAAAGCTAGGTCATCAGTAACTTTAAAAAAAAAAAAAAATTAAAAACAATGCAGATCGAGGGGAAAAACAAAAAAAAAGCAAAACCTGTTGTGTTATGACTGGTATTTCATCATGCATCTTAAGACTATAGTCATCCATTTTTATCAGATACAGAAAGTATTTAAATATTTTATTTCCTTCGAACTAAAAGAGAACTTTGACAAAACATAGAAATCCAATCTCCAGTATATTCAATTGCCAGGCTAACTGGATTCATTTAATATAACAGACAGGGTCCAAACCTGTTTACTCTACCCACACAAGTAATCCCATTGAATTAATGGAACTACTTACATGAGTAAGGAGAACAGGGTTTTACCTGTTTTCACTTCCATTCCTCTCACACGGGTTTCCCCATTGCCAAGGAAGATATCTATACCTATACAGCTGGTGCTTTTCTATTCTCTAACGATGAATCACTATGTACACATTGCTACAGATAGCAGAAAATTCCAAGGAAAACTAGGAGAAAAGAAAAAGAAGGTAAAGATAAATTAGAGTAAGGAATACAAAAGAGATATTTTTTTCAAAGTGTGAACTGTAGACGAAAATTAAAAGGACATAAACATTTCTAAGAAGACAGATTAATATTGTGCTTGCATAGGCAAAGAAAAGAGATTTCTATTTTGAAAAAAAAAGAGAAAAAAAGCTAGATGTGAGAATTGGAATGCTTTATAAGTTTGAAAAGTAATTAAACCAGACAGAAATAATTTTGGCCATGATCAAAGAGGGAGTGGGCAGCAAAAAATACAGACTCTTGCTAAAATATCTATCATTCAAATATCATTCTTTCACAGTTAATATTTTCGACAAGGGGAAAAAAAAAAAAAAGAGTAGCCTATTATGCATATCCTACTATTGATAATCCGCAAAAGGTGCTGCTGTGTCAGACATTCAGATCAAAAGAATAACAAACCAGAAAAAAACCACAACCGATTTACTCCTTTGCTGGTAAAAACACCCGTGAATAAACAACCCTGTACTGCAAAAACGCCGCTGGGTAGTCATGTAAAAAGAATGTCAGCTTGTAACAGTAACTCTCAAATTTCAAATTACCGTTGCTAGTATTTCAGGCATTATTTGGGTGGCGTAGAGGGGTTGAAATATTGCCACATTGATTCCGGCCATGAAGGGC